CCGCCGTGCCGTGCCAGCCCCGAAATGCTGCCCCCTCCCCACCCGAACGGAAGAAGCTAGCCCAGCAGCTTGTCCGCACCCCTCGCCCACGGAGCGAGGCCGGGCCGAGTGCCACGTCGCCACGCCCCAGCTGCCACCCCTCCCCAGGCCTGGGGCCCGCCTCTCCCGCCAGCCCAGGCGGCTCCTGCTGGGGCCTGTTTGCTTGTCTCCGTGCCAGCCTGTTTCCCCTGCCGCCCGAGCTTTCCCTGGATCCCAGCTCTGCGGGGGAGGGGAGCTGGCACCGGAGAGGAGGTTATTTTCCGGACCTCACCCAGCTGGCTCTGCGGGAGCCACCCTGGTGCCCTGGGGGAGGGGGTGTGCGCAGCAGGCCTGGGCGCCCCTCCTGCCCCCGCTGGGCAGCTGCCTGGCTCACTCAGTAGCATTGTGGATGCAGGAGTGGGGACCCAGGAGAGACCCTTGTACCATGTACCGTGACTGTCCCCGGAGTCCAGGCAGCACCCCTGCGGAGGGCGCCCCAGTGGACTGTAGGGCCCCTCCCCATGCCTCTGCTGTCCCCTCCAGCCCTCCTGCAACCCTCTAGCTCCTGCAACAAGCCCTCCTCCGCCCTAGGGTTCAGTAGCATTGTGGATGCAGGAGTGGGGACCCAGGAGAGACCCTTGTACCATGTACCGTGACTGTCCCCGGAGTCCAGGCAGCACCCCTGCGGAGGGCGCCCCAGTGGACTGTAGGGCCCCTCCCCATGCCTCTGCTGTCCCCTCCAGCCCTCCTGCAACCCTCTAGCTCCTGCAACAAGCCCTCCTCCGCCCTAGGGTGGCAGGGCTTAGCCGTGGGCCTCCCCGTGGCCTGGAGTCGGGGCGGGCAGGCCAAGGGCCCTGCGGAGATGGGGAGTGGCATTTCACAGTGCCTTGGGCAGCACAGCCTGACTGGCAAGGCTGCTGGGCCCACTGCGAGCCCTGAGCCCTTGGCTAACGCCACGGCAACAGCATTTAGCAGGCCCCCAGCCAGGCCTTAGATTGCCCCCTCCCTGTGCTGCCCTCAGCCGCCTGCTCTCCTCTGTCATGCCCAGCGCCATGCCTGCGGGCGGAGCTCGGTGACTGGCTGGGTGTTGGGGCTGGGCTGTCACAGCTGCTGCCTGGGAAAGGCACCGCAGC